TAACCAATATAGAAAGGATCTAGGCACCCCGATAATAAAAACAGAAGCATACTTCAACTTAATTATCATATCAGAATCATAAACAACAAAAGAAATTCACATGCCAAGATCACAGTGAAAGAATAATAAAATGGAAAGCCAAAACACTATGCCCCCACCAAATCCTGTAGAAGAGTTCTACCTGGAGAACTGAACCCCCTAGAGATAACACAGGACACTAGTGAATTTAAAAGAACAATCATAAACATGATCAAGGAATTCAATGAATTTAAAGAACACAAGAACAAACAAAACAAAAAACAAAAAGAAGATAGGGAAAAACTTCTAAAAGAATTCACAAAAGAGATAGAAACATTGAAGAAAACTCAGGCAGAAATGAAGAAGGAAGTGCAAACTCAGTAAGCCAACTTGAAACAACAGAGGAAAACCTCACCGCTACAATGAATGAAATGGAACACAGAATATTAACACTGGAGGATAAAGTTGAAGAATTGGACCACTCAAGCAAAGATTATGAAACTTCTAAAAAGTACAAAAATGGAATATGCAAGAGATGTGGGACACTGTGCAAAGACCAAATATACATATCATAGGCATAGAGGAAGGAGAAGAATTTCATCTTAATAGTATTGACCAGATCTTAAACAGGATTGTGGAAGAGAATTTCCCAAAATTAAGGAAAGACATCCCAACACAGATATGGGAAGCACATAGTGATAGGTAAAAAGTTGGCGGAGAATGAGTGAATGATGAGGCACCGAGGCTGTGCTGGATAGCTTTAGTGTCAACTTGACACACCTGGGTTGAGGGAGCCTCAATTGGGGAATTGCCTCTATTGGAATGGCCTGTGGCCATATCTGAGGGGCATCTTCTTGATGAGTGATGTGGGAGGGCCCAGCCCACTGTGGGTGGTGCCACCCCTGGGCAGGTGGGCCTGTGTTGCATAAGAAAGCAGGCTGAGCAGGGGCCAAGGGAGCAAGCCTGTAAGCAGCGTTCCTCCATGGCCTGTGCTCCAGCTCCTGCCTCCAGGTTCCTGTCCTGAGTTCCTACCTTGGGCTCCCTGATGAACTGCGACCTGGGAGATATAAGCTGAATAAACCCTTTCCTCCCCAAGTTGGTATTGGTCAGAGTGCTTTGTCACAGCAATGGAGAAACAAACCAGGACAGAGACACAGCTAAAACTCCATCAAAATAGGGTTTATTAGCAAGGGAATGGTAAGTGCAAAACTCAATAAGCTGACTTGAAACCAAAAGGGAAAGCCTCACCTCTAGAATGAATGAAATGGAAAACAGAATATCAACCCTGGAGGGTAAAGTTGAAGAATTGGACGACTCAAGCAAAGACAATGGAAATTTTTAAAAAAGACAGGTAAAGAGTATGCAAGCGTTGTGGGACACCATGAAAAGACCAAATCTATGGATCATAGGAATGGAAGAAGAAGAATTTTAGGTTAATGGTGTTGATGCGATCTTAAACAGGAGTGTAGAAGAGAATTTCCAGAAATTAAGGAAAGACATCCCCATACAAATACAGGAAGCACATAGAACACCAAATAGACAGGACCAGAAAAGAAACTCCCCATGACATATCATAGTAAAAACACTAAATGTACAGAACAAAGAGAGAATACCGAAAGCAGCAAAAGAAAAACAAGTCACATACAAAGGAAAGCCCATCAGAATTACAGCTGACTTATCAATGCAAACTATGAAAGCCAGAAGAGCCTGAACCAAGGTATTTCCAGTTCTACGTGATAACAGATGTCAGACCAGAAATCTATACCTAGCAAAAATGTCTATTCTAGTTGAGGGAGAAAGAAAAATCTTCCATGACATGAAAAGCCTGAACAAATACATGTCCACAAAACCAGCCCTTCAAAGAATACTTGAAGCTTTCATACAGAGAGCAGAGAGAGAACTAACTATACCCAGGGACAACAAAAGAAAATAAATAAAGGTATAATTGAGAAACACAAAATAAGGCAGAGAACACAAACAGCAATCAAAATGATGGCAACCAATAGACATCTTTCAATAATAACCTTAAATATCAACAGACCAAACTCCTCAGTCAGAAGACTCAGGCTAAGTAAATGGATTAAGAAACAAAATCCATCTCTTTGCTATCTGGAAGAAACCTATCTCACCTTCAAGGACAGGCACTAACTTAAGGTAAAAGAATAGAAAAGAATATTCCAAGCAAATGGCACTAAGAAACAAACAGGGGTTGCAATTCAAATATCTGACAAAATAGACTTCAAAGTAAAACTAATCAGAAGAGATAATTAGGGTCGCTTCATTCTAATCAAAGGAACAGTTAACCAAGATGATATTACAATCCTTAACATATATACACAAAACTCTTAATTCATAAAAACAACACTACAGGACTTTAAGACACAGATTAATGCCAACACAGTAATAGCAGGGGACTTTAATACCTGATTGTCTGCATTAGACACATCAACTGGACAACGAATAAACAGAGAGACGTCTGAATTAAATGATACCATACATCAAATGGCACTAACAGACATCTTTTGAATATTCCACCCAAGCACCAAAAAATACACTTTATACTCAGCACCCCCATGGAATTGTTTTAAAAATTGGTCACATACTGGGTCACAAAACAAACCTCAACAAATGCAAAAAAATTGAAATAATCCCATGCATTCTATCAGACGACAATTCAATAAAGCTTAAAACCAACACTGGACAAAGCCTAGTCACTACACGAACTTGTGGTGATTGAATAACACATTGCTAAACAATGAGTGGGTCAAAGGAGAAATTAAGAAAGAAGAGAATTCCTGGAATTCAATGAAAAGGACAATATAACACAACAAAACATCTGGGACACTTTAAAAGCAGCTCTAAAATGGACGTTTATAGCTCTAAGTGTCTGCATCAAAAAATTAGAAAGAGCCCAAGTAAATGACATAACACTGCAACTCAAGATCTTGGAAAGGCAAGAACAAATAAAACCCAAACCCAGCAAAAGAGAAGTAATAACAAAAATTGTAGCAGAAATTAATGAAATAGATTAGTGAAACAGAAACAAAGAAAACAATACAAAGAATCCATGAATCTAAGAGCTGGTTCTAATCCAAAAGCTGGTTGAAAAGATAAACAAGATTGACAGACCGCTAGCCCAGTTAACCAAAAGAAAGAGCAAATCCAAACCAACAAAATCAGAGATAAAAGGGGAAACATCACAACAGACACCGAAAAGATCCAGATCATTATGAGAAAATATTTTTAAAACCTATACACTACCAAATTTGAAAATCTAAAAGAAATGGATGGATATCTAAAATCATGGGAACCACCAAAGTTAAACCAAGAAGAGATCAACAGTTTAAATAGACCCATAACATATGAGGAAATTGAAACAGTAATACAAAGCCCCCCAACTAAAAAAAAGCCCAGGCCCAGATGGATTCACAGCAGAATTTTACCAGACATTTGAAGAAGACCTCCAACCTGTGGGGTCGCTCCCTCTCCTCATGGGTCGTTGGCCACCGTTCCACAAGGACAAAGGGAGCAGAAGCGACGAACAGGTCAGGACGGCCAGTGAGCACTGA